ACATGAAGATTGTGGCATGTTTAATTTTGCAAAAATATGCTAATTGACTGTTAATTATCTAACCGCCAGGTCAATCACGCATCATAAAGTTTAAATTCTAAAATTTAACCAACTCGGAAAAATTTTGTCTATATGCTGTTCTGATGCTTGATGCAGGAGCATCTGCCATAACTGATAGCAGAGTTGGAACACTCAGCGGGATTAACCTGGATTAAGCGGTCACTGATGTCCGCTGTGGTATTTTGCGTTGTTGCAAATTATAGCCTATGTTTAGTGTGTGATAACGGCGAGCAGCTCCCAAAGGACTTTTTTAATTTCAGTCTGAAAATCTTGGATAAAATTTTCAGGTCCACTTGGATAGACAGCTCAGACGTTGTTTTATAGATTTCAGTTTTGCGTGACTCATTTTTTGCCATGGAAAAGGTGGGCACTATGTTTTCATACTCAGCTAATTAGTTTAATGAAATTTATGTATTTATTGAATTGAATTTGAAATTGTAACAATTACAGTCTAATTCGACTCATGTACAAGGAATTTGAGTTTCAAACGTTGCCAAAAGCTCACATCTATCTTTAGTTTTTTCTAGGCAAGTTTCAACTATATGCATGCTATAGGTACATGGACTATTAATGGTGGCCTACATTTTCATAGCCAACTTGGCGACCAAACAACACTAACCATATCAGAGCTGAAAATATGCAATTAATTCCTAAATCCCAATGACACTGTTTTGCCAAAATGTTGACTGCAGAAAATAGGGACTTAAATCATCGGTTTCTGGAGTGTCCCTCTGATCACTGAATCTTTAAACATTACCTTGAGGTTTGCTGAATATGTTACTCCTTGTCAGTAATGAAATCTATTGATGAACAATCAGAGTTTCGGTTTTGCTTGCTTTGTGACAGATCATAGACACCTCATTGCTTTTAATCATGCATCAAAAATAAGTGCACGATTCGTCTACTTCGTAGACCGAAGTTAAGAGCGGGTAGCAAAGCATTACTAAAGCGACAAGTCAGTGAGATCGATATACTGCTTCTATTGTGATTTGTAATAGGGCGTTGTGATGTAATGTCATAATATCTTGATCCAACAGCTGATCTTGTGCATTATGCAGCTACCACCTGACACCGCGTGAAATACTGTTGAAAGTAACTAACAGAGAGAGTCGCAAGAGACATTCTATGGTAGACAGGGCTGATCGTTTCCAATGCATAACGCCGAGTGGTAGTTAAACACTGGCAGAGTAAAGTCAGTAGGTTTGTCTAATAAGCCAAGATAAAGTAATTCTCCAATCAGTTAGAAAATT